GTGCGAATTAATTGAAACAAAACGAATAATTCCGTTATTATTTACTTTTTTCCCGTATGTTTCCAATGAAGCATGACCCAGTGCACATGTTAATACTTCGTATGTCCATTCCACAAAGATTGCAGATTGACCACAGTTTCTCGACTGGATTTAAATCGGCAAAGTTTCCAGGACAGTCTATAGTACTTAGATTTGCACACTGGTAAGGCTCTCCAGTGTCTTCGTTCAGCGTTACAATTTTCGTACGCTTCCTTGGAGTAATGTCCATCGCAAACAATGGCCATAGGACAACTAATCGACAGTCTAGACAATAGTATCTGGGCGTGATATAAATCTGATGCAATCACGGACAACGCAATATTTTTTCCAAATATAAATCGTTTAAACCCTTACACTCCAGTGGTTCTAAAACTGGCCATATGGGGAAAGAAACGAAACTAAAACGGTTGTTTCAATTATTGTGCACAAGCGTGTATATGTATATATATATATATATATATATATATATATATATATATATAAAGCTGATATACCTTGAGGAGTGAACGGGGCGATGCTGAATTTAACATCAGGTTAACTGAAATGTTTAGGTAAATTACAGAGGGATACTAAATAACTTAACTTAATATCAAGTAAATGACAGTGAGTAAATTATTATTAATTTTTAAAAAATAACCTCAGGTTATGAATTAACAGTTTTCTTGTAATTTTTGACATATTTATCGTCATGTATTTTGTCTTGGGACAGGAGTAATTCTTTCAGGAACGGACATATTAGGAAAAGCTCGTGCGCGGATATATATTTTGACAAGATTCGATCGCCGGAACTTGCCCTTTAAGAATGATTATCTCTTTTTCTAACACTTTGAGCGCTGCGTTCCTGAACAATTTTAACCCCTCTGCCTGAGCTCCAGTGTCAAAATTCGCAAATAATTGGTACGTAATGTTTCATAGTAGGTACAAAAATAGTTATAAGTGTTTACCCACCGTTCAACCGGTAGCTGGGTATTACGTCATTTTTCTCTACCACCGTTCAACCGGTGGCTTGGTATTAAGTCATTTTTCTCTACCACTGTTCAACCGGTGGCTTGGCATTGTCATTTTTCTCTACCACTGTTCAACCGGTAGCTGGGGATTAAGTAATTTTTCTCTACCACTGTTCAACCGGTAGCTGGGGATTAAGTAATTTTTCTCTACCACTGTTCAACCGGTAGCTGGGGATTAAATCATTTTTCTCTACCACTGTTCAACCGGTGGCTCGACATTAAATCATTTTTCTCTACTACTGTTCAACCGGTGGCTCGACATTAAGTCTTTTTTCTCTACCACCGTTCAACCGGTAGCTGTGCATTAAGTAATTTTTCTCTACCACTGTTCAACATGTGACTGAGCATTACGACATTTTTTCTACCACCGGTAAAGCGGTGGTCAGGGCTCAAAGGTTTGAAAAACGTGGAATTCTTTACAGCAAAGTTTTGGTTGAATTTATTTCTATGTGTGACGAATGCATTTAAGGAATTGCTGTGCATAAGATCCCTGTTGTTTTCATGCATACGTTTTTTGAAATGTCTGTAAGTTTCAGCAATGCATTATGAAGAGCAGTTGTGACAGGTCATTTTATATATACTGGCTTCGGTATTATTATTGCGATGGGTATATTTACTTCTGATCATATCCATGATATTTTGTATTTGAGTGTCTTTTAAATCTAAGAATGTTTAAAAAAAGACTATCAAGTTCTTCATTTTGTTTATAAATACTTGTTCTAAAATAAAATCGTCATAATTGCTTTGATAACGTTAATCAGTAAACAAAAAGCGTCGGCTAAGATAAGTTTCTCTTATCAGTTAACCTGATGAATATTTATGGCCGTCTAAAAATTGGGGAAAAAAAAACAAACTTTTTCCTTTTGCTTATAGATACCTGTTGCAAAATAAAATCCACATATTTCTTTTAATAAATTTTGCCAGAGGACGAAAACGTTCATCTAACATCAGTTTTCTATTTTGTACTTATTGGTATACAAAGGGTGTACCAATAACTTGGCCCGATTTTAAATGTGAATTAACTTTAAGCGTTTAATGAATTTTTTTTTCTTTTTCTTTCAGATTTGACAGTTATTTGGGCGATATTATTTTTCACAGATAATTGCCATGACTTAAATGACATAATCCAATAGAGAAATAAAGAAATTCTCACCAATAACACTGTTTTATTTACTGCTGACTTTGATCCGACTTAATGAAACACCCTGATATATAATCCGTCTTAATGAAACGCCCTTCATATATAATCCGTCTTAATGAAACACCCTTATATATAATCCGACTTAATGAAACACACTTCATATATAAACCGACTTAATGAAACACCCTTAAAAATATAATCCGTCTTAATGAAACACCCTCATATATAATCCGTCTTAATGAAACATCCTTATATATAATCCGTCTTAATGAAACACCCTTATATATATATATATATATATATATATATATATATATATATATATATATATATATGCGTGGTACTTAGCGGAAATTGGTCAATCTTGTCACTGGAACAGAGAGAATGACAATTGCTTCAATAAGTGTGCTCGAAGGCATGAACGTGTAACTGCGCCTAAAATAAGATAATATCTGTGGGTGTGGATATAGGAAATAAATGTGTACATTTGTATGTGTGCGTGTCTATGTAGATGTGAGTATCATCCCAAACAAACATATAAGCAAATTTACGCCCTCCCCTATACATAATTAATCAAACGCAAATAAGCACGATTAAACCCACTTTTTAAAAATTTACAAGTTTACTGTTCATCGCGAAAGAATGAACCCCGGTCTTTGAAAATACTATCGATGCAATAGCATATATATATATATATATATATATATATATATATATATATATATATATATATATACATTTTTGCCTTGATAAAATTCATAATGGAATGCTACACTTCGTTTGAGATAATTTTTCCTTTTCTCTTTACTCCTATTGCCCATTTAGGGATATATGTGTTCACCGTGCTAGACCTGGCTTTTTTAATATTTCCCCTTTTCTAGCAAGATTAATGCTAGACAAATGTACATATAAGTTTTAGATTAAAATAAAATTCTTTTCATTTTTCATTCAAAATACTCAAATTTTAGGAATAGGTTTTCACAACATCGCCCACGTGACGACGACGTGATCATATTTAAATGGAACGCTGATCTTATAAAAAATTCCAGTTATTTGTTTGGATTTGTATTGCTTTAATGTCCATCGTCTTTTTCATGTTGAATTGTATATGGTCTATGTTAATTATGTTTTATGAATATGTCCTGAAGATGGTCTATTAGACCGAAACGTCCGACGATGACATTAAACATTAAAACAGCATACTCGCATATTAGGATTTTTGTTTGTTTTTTCAGTATATTTTTCTTCATACTGTCGGATCTATATCAATATATTTGCTTACATATATATATATATATATATATGACGATCAAGAGTTCATTGCATTCACTTATGCGCATTTATAGTGGGGGGAAACAAATATTCGTACATATAAAAATTTAAAATATTTCATATTTGCAACTAATGAATAAACATACTTTTCATACAATTAACTGTCTACCCATGTATAGTAATATGCATAGAAAAACCAAAAAAAAATGATTTAATTGAAATAAATCTCATTTATCCATAAGTGAAAAAAGTATTCGTACAATACAAAAAAAGAAGACATAATCTTGATTTAATACTTTGTAGATTAGCCGTTATTCAATTCAACAATTTTTGTGGTTCTCAATTAATGATTTGCAAATCTTAGTTGCTATTCTGTTCCATTCTTCTTCGCATATGGTCTTCAGATCCGGACTGTTTATTGGCGGTCTCGATTGGATTTGAATTTTCAAATAATGCCACAGATTCTCGATTGGGTTTAAACCTAGGGACTGACTTGGCCATTTCAGGATATTTACATTACTTTCAGCAAGCCATTTTTTAGTAGATTTTGCAGTGTGCTGAGCATCATTATCTTGTTAGAAGATCCAATCAGGAGGAAGTTCAAAACTGCCACCGAAATCATTAAATTTGATTCCAAAATATTTTGATATCCTGCGGCATTTTTTCTACCGCCTGATATGTTGCCAGTACCTTTTGCAGAAAAAAATTCCCTAAACTATGATGCTGCTACCACTAAATTTCACCGTTGGAACTGATTTCTAGAATTAAATCCAAACAACACAATTTTGGTTTCGTCAGTCAATAATACTTTTTTCTAATACGATTTTTCCTTATCTTTATATTCAAGAACGAATTTCAACATGGCATCTCTTTTTCTTTTCAATAGCAATGCAGCTTTCCGAGGGGAGCGTGACTTTTGATTGTTTCTACGAATTCCATTGCTTATTGTCCGTTTAGTGAACACATTCCTGATGAAAGCAAAACATCAAGTAACTCTTGACAAATAACCATTGGACTTTGTTTAATGTGACGCATTAATTTCCTCGAAGATCTTGAAGAAATCTTTCATGAAGCACCTCTTCTTTGTTTTCAACAATTTTGAGCTTTTATACCTTACAGTGAATGAACTCGTTGTAATAAAAGGAATATTGTGTTTGTCTGCGATTATCCTGTGACTTTCACCTTCTTTCCAGAGCTTAACAATCAGTTTTCTTTTACGAATTTGTCAATTCTTTACCCACTGTCATGATGATAACATTCTTGCAAAAAATATCAATTACAGAATCTTCTGTTTGCATTTTTAGGCTAAAAATAACTACTGATAACATTACTTGAACATTCTAGATTATTCCACTTGAATAATCTAGAGTCTTAAAGCAATTTAAAAGGTTTAAAATCTGAAATTTGCATTGTACGAATACTTTTTTTAACCCATTAAAATGGACAAATGGATTTTTTTTATATTAATCTTTTTTCTGTTGTCTATGCATATTTAGTCATTATGTATCTGTGTACAGTTAATTTTATAAAAAAAAGTATGT